GGGATGGGAACTTGTAAAATAAAGGGAAAAGTATCAGAAGACTAATTTCCACTTACGACAATTCAGTTTCCATGAAATTTGAGGAAATAGTTCCCAGGAGGAATCAAAAAATTCTTCACTGCCTACTAGGCTTGTGCAAAGAACCACTACAGTTAAGAAAAGGTGGGGGCATGGTGGCTTATATCTGTAATCCCAGCATTTTGGGAGACCAAAGTGGGAGTACTGGTTGAGTCAAGGAGTTCAAGAACAACCAAGGCAACACAACAAGGCCTCAGGTTTACAAAAAAATAAAAATAAGCTGAGTCTAGTGGTGTGAGCCTGTAGACCCAACTACAAAAGGAAAACACACACACACATACACACACACAGAGAAAAGGCAATAATGTAATAATACTAAATTACAGCTTGCTCTGGTGTTAGGTTCAAATATTGGCTATTTAAGATTTTTGCATTTCTACTGGTAATATTTGCTGCATACACAGGAATATATATGCATGCAGTCTCTTGCCAAACATTACTATCAAAAAGCCAACAGAGAGGCCCAAATGATTTCCAATCATTTAAGAGATCTAGATATACTGTATCTTTACAAAATGTTGCCATCTGTACAACCACATCCTATGGCGGTCAAGAGCAACTCAGTATATCCATCTTTTAACACTACATTTTCCAAAAATAATCTCCATCTGTTAGATTCAGTAACTGTATATTGTTCCTAATGTTCAAAAGGCACTACCTATTATTCTTTTCTCAAAGGTATAGTCTTCATTTGTAAGAATTTAAAACATAGCAAAAATCTGAAGTAGTCATGCACCACAAAACAATGTTTCAGTCAACAGTGGACCACGTATATTACTCTGTCACCCAGGCTGGAATGCAGTGGCGCAATCACAGTTCAATAAAACCGCCGCCTGTGGGCTCAAGTGATCCTCCCACCTCAGACTCCCCAGTAGCTGGACTACAGGCATGCACCACCATGCTCAGTTAATTTTTTAAATTTTTTTGTAGAGAAGGGGTTTCCCTATGTTGCTCAGGCTGGTCTCCAGCTCTTGGGCTCAAGTGATGTGCCCACCTTGGCTTCCCAAAGTGCTGGGATTACAGGAGTGAGCCACTAAGCCTGGCCTACAGTACCCTATTTTTACTGTATGTTTTCTATGCTTAGTTATGTTTAGATACATAAATACATAGCACCATGTTACAGTTACCTATAGTATCCAGTACAGTAACATGCTGTGCAGGTTTGTAGCATAGGAGCAACAAGATATACTATATAGACTAGGTGTGCAGATTATACTATCTAGGTTTGTGGAAGTACACTCCGTGATGTCTGCACAATGACAAAATCACCTAATGACATATTCCTCAGAACACATCCCAGTCATTAACTGATGCATGGCTGTATATAAATTAAAAGTGCTAACCGAAACATAAAGGCACAAATACACATACCACATGATTAAAAGTCAACTGTAGGCCAGGTGTGGTGGCTCACACCTATAATCCCAGCATTTTGGGAGGCTGAGGTGGGCAGATCACTTGAGGTCAAGAGTTCATGACCAGTCTGGCCAATACGGTGAAATCCCATCTCTACTAAAAATACAAAAATTAGCCAGGCGTGGTGGTGTGCACCTGTAATCCCAGCTACTTGTGAGGCTGAGGTAGGAGAATCACCTGAACCTAGGAGGCAGAGGTTGCAGCGAGTTAAGATCGTGCCACTGCACTCCAGCCTGGGTGACAGAGAGAGACTGTCTCAAAAAAAAAAAAAAAAAAGAAAAGAAAAGAAAAAAATCAACTGTAAATCTGAAAGTAATTAGAGATTTTGCTAATTACCATTTAAAAATTTGTGTTCAAATTATAGCCTGCTCTAAACAGGCGGCTTGTAGAACCACTCTAGCCTAAATTATGTCTGGCTTGGCCGGAAGTGTAGGTTTTTGTTTACTTGTTTTGTTTGAATGTGAATTTGAATACTTTTAGGAGGTGCAGATGTATTTTGCCACAGACCCCACCACTCCCAATTGTGTAACACTGAACCTCATTTATGTTCTTTGTGTGACCCTAAATAACTTTAGAAAATACTGAAACTGCCGGGAGTGGTGGCTCATGTCTGGAATCCCAGCACTTTGAGTGGCCTAAGAGGGAGATCACCTGAGCTCAGGAGTTCAAGACTAGCCTAGGCAACATAGCGAAACCCCATCTCTACCAAAAATACAAAAATTAGCTGGACGTGGTGGCCCACGCCTGTAGGCCCAACTACTTGGGGGACTGAGATGGGAGGATTGCATGAGTCTGGGAGGCAGAGGTGGCAGTAAGTCGAGATCTCGCCACTGCACTCCAACCCGGGTGACAACAGGGCAAGACCCTGTCTCAAAAAAAAAGAAAACACTGAAATAACTATTGTCCTGAACTACAGTGATTTTTTCCGTGATATGAATGTCACAGAAAAAGTAAACAATGGAATATTTTTCTAAGGGCAAACAAGTTCATTCTATTTTCAGAGACTTTCTGTAATTTGAAACACCTCAGAAGTCAACGACCTCAATTCTCATCATTTTACAGGGAAATGACTGGGCCTATAGTGGTAAAGTGACTTGTCCAAGGTCATACAGCCAATTGGTAGCTTGGATACAACACTGCTTTGAATTTGTTTCCCGCAACCAGACACTTTCATCAAAAGGAAGGGCGACTGTTTCTGATTATTCTGAGCCTGTGCCAACACTCTGCTCCGTGTTCTGCACTCAGTAAGTATTCAACAAGTAGTAATGAGATTTGCTTCCAAGAGGTAAACTCAGTTATTGTTTATAAAGAACAGAATCCAGCTAAAGTAGAAAAAACAGATTCCTGCTCATCAGCCATAGTATTTGTTGAATGAATTAATAAATGAATGAATGGTTGAATGAATGAATGAATGAAACTTTAGTTCAAAGGTAGACTTGTAGTTGCTGAGTCCTTACATGGATAAAGGATCCAAACAAAGGCAAAACTATCAGTAACATTTAACCTTTTAAGAAGACACTGGCCTTAATTAAGGTCTTTTCACACAGGAAAAATAGGTTCTCAATACAGTTCCAGACTGTCCAGTTAGGCCAAAGTACAGCATTTTGCACTTTGCACAAGTCAGCAAATAATCATTTCCTTTGTTATGTAAATCCATCCTTAGTAGACCTAAAATTTTGGGATCTAACAGCTCAGATCTAACTCAAATGTTTTCCAAAGTAATTCACTAACACATTACTTCAGCATTTCTTCCACATTTAGGGAAACTATTTTTTAAAAAACCATCATTCTGCAACATTCCCTTTTCCAACTACAGCATACAGTAGGGCTCAACAAACTGTAATATACATGCCCTTGGGTAACATCCAGTAATCTCTGGAAGCCTCCATATTCTTGTACCAAGCAAGGCTGCAAGAAGAACAATTTTTCTTAGTTATTGGCTATTTTTTTCCTTTGTTTCTTAAACTTTCATTAGCAGGGTCAAAGTTAATGTGGCCAAGGAGATCTTGTAGGTAGACCAAATTCTCCTCTCTCAACTTCTACTCTCAGCCATACACTGTTCCAACTAAATTCAAATGGTGGAGAAATGTTTTTGTCACCTTTCCTCCTTCCCTTTCCATTTCATCTTCTTTATTTCTTTCTCCCTTTCCTTAGACAGAACATACAAGTTCAAACAAATCCCCTGTGTGTTCTGTGGGAAAGGAGTAAATGGTGTTTGTGATCAGTCCAGGATAAGAATGGGAGAAACTGAAACCAGGATAAGGGTGAAGAGAAACTGGTTAGGTTCAGCACCGGAGTCAATGGGGGAATGGAGGTTAAGGAAGAGAAGTAATGATCTTCAATTCTGTTTTGGCTTTCATAACGTAACCGTTTCCATTTAGGAATGCCAAAATTTCAATGGGACCAAAAGTATAACTGCGTTTAAGGTTTTCTTCTCTTTTATGGTATAGTGTATCTGTGAACTGGGGGCAGGGAGAGCTGTGTCAACTCAGATACTAGAAAAGCTATTATAGTAGAGAGCTCACACATACATGGGAACAGTTGCTGGAATCTGTCTTATGCTCACCAATGTGCAACCTGGGCATGTGAAGGCACTAATGACACATGTGGCAACCCCTGCCAATGGGGTCAGGAGCCAGTGGATTCATGATCCCTATCTGAGACGCATTATGTACAGCTTCTTAGATCTTAGCAGTTTTCAGCCCAGTTGTCCATAGTGGTGACCAAATCAACATATCCTCATAGAAGCTTTCTCTCCTTCCCTGTTTCATTTTCCCTAGCCCCTACTACCAGTTCCTGAGAATCCCAGGCTCTGCTTTCTAGGGGGATCCCAGGTTAAAATAACAGAGGTGGTTACAAAGCTGGGAGAAGCCTTTCTCAACATGTCTGCCCCTTATCCCAGTGTAGCAATCTAATACTTCAAGGATCAGTATGTAGTTCTAGTATCACCTCCCACATGCATGGGCGATAAAAGTGGAGGGAGTTTATATGACTGGGGCTCCATTACATTTCTTGAAGAGCACTTTAAAAAGTTGGGACCGGCCAGGTATGGTAGCATGTGCCTGCAGTCCCAGCTACTCAGGAGGCTGAGGTGGGAGGAACATTACAGCCCAGGAGCCTGAGTTCAGCCTGGGCAATATCACAAGACCCCGTGTCTTTTAAAACAACAACAACAACAACAACAAAAAAAAACCAAACCTGGGATAAACACTTTGAAAAGAAAAAATCCATAGTCAAAACTCTCTACTCCTTTCTCCATCGAACTTTTGTAAGAATTCAAGACTGACTCTTCAGTGGGGTACAATGTGCCTGAAATGATGCAAATACTAACACACCCCACCCATAACATATATCTTCTGGTATCCACCCCTACACCCAGAAAGAGTTGCATGATAGGAATAAAGAATTTTTTGAAGTCTGTATGTTGCTAAATGGTTCAGGAATAGAAATGGGCTATTAGTCTTCATTCTGTAGACCAGGAAGGCAAATGCAAAAGATTTACTCACACATCATTGAATTCCTCCAGAGACCTTGCAGGTGTAAAAACGTCCAACAGACCAATCACCTGTAAGAAAATATAAAAATTAAACAGTAAATAAATATTAAACTCAGTAGAGTACCCATCAGGTCTTAATCTTCTTTTCTTTTTTTTTTTTTAAGAGTCAGGGTCTAGGCCAGGAGCAGTGGCTCATGCCTGTAATCCCAGCACTTTGGGAGGCTGAGGCGGGTGAATCACCTGAAGTCAGGAGTTCAAGACCAGTCCAGCCTACATGGTGAAACCCTGTCTCTACTAAAAATACAAACATTAGCCAGGCATGGTGGTGGACGCCTGTAATCCCAGCTACTCGGGAAGCTGAGGCAGGAGAATTGCTTAAACCTGGGAGGCGGAGGTTGCAGTGAGCTGAGATTGTGTCACTGCACTCCAGCCCGGGCGACAGAGCGAGACTCCGTCTCAAAAAAAAAAAAAAAAAAAAAGAGTCAGGATCTCACTCTTGACATGCAAGCTAAAGTACAGTGACACCACCACAGTTCATGGCAGCTCAAGTAATCCTCCTGTCTCAGCTTCCCAAGTAGCTGGGACTATAAGCACATGCCACCACCATGCCTAGCTAATTTTTCTTTTTTTGTACAGATGTGTCTCACTAGATTGCCCAGGCTGGTCTGGAACTTTTGGCCTCAAGTGATCCTCCCATTTTAGCATCCCAAAGTGCTGGGATTACAGCAGTGAGCCACCATGGCCAGCCAGGTCTCAATCATTTTAATAGGAACTAATTCAAAACCAGCTACCTCAGTTTCATAACATCACGTCACATCCTTAGTAACTCCAACTAATTTTCTACCCAAATTATGCTTTTGTTTTCTACTTGTTAACATCAATTCTCATATTAACCCATTTTACCATTAAAAATCTTCATCTCTTTAGAATTTAATCATATGTAGTCAGTAGTTTACCAGAAGGCAAAAAGATTTAGGGTACCTGCGTTACGTATGTACTAATGGTCTAATGAATTAATCCAACAGGAAAAAAAGGTCACATGTCCATGGTTGTTACCATAATAATGTTTTTAAAAAATGTATTCCATGAAAAATTTCCATCTTAACTGTATAGCCTTCAAAACTGACATATTTATAGCCTCAAAATATTCTCAGTATATTCTTGGTATTATTCTCACAAAGTCTTAATGGATCGGGTATTTAAATCAGACAATTTAAAAATGAAAAAAAAAAGTCTATCTTTACATAGGGATAAAGCAAAGAGCTACTTAATACTCAATAACCCAAGGTCTTTGAAAAGTTTTCTGATCATGAATTCATCCACATACAGCACCTCCATCCCCCACCTCCCATTCATTTTCCTTAAAACCCAGGCCATTCGTTTCTACAGTTAGGTATTGACAAGACAAATAAGAAATATTATAATTCGGCCGGGCGCGGTGGCTCAAGCCTGTAATCCCAGCACTTTGGGAGGCCGAGGCGGGTGGATCACGAGGTCAGGAGATCGAGACTATCCTGGCTAACATGGTGAAACCCCGTCTCTACTAAAAATACAAAAAACTAGCCGGGCGTGGTGGCGGGTGCCTGTAGTCTCAGCTACTTGGGAGGCTGAGGCGGGAGAATGGCGTGAACCCGGGAGGCGGAGCTTGCAGTGAGCTGAGATCACGCCACTGCACTCCAGCCTGGGAGACACAGCGAGACTCTGTCTCAAAAAAAAAAAAAAAAAAAAAAAAAAAAAGAAATATTATAATTCATTTGTAATACGCCCAGCCATATTTGAGAGTATCTGGATATGAAGCAAGACTGTGGCCTCACTAGCACACTGTTCTAACCTGCCAACTTAAACACGAAGCTCTAGAAGTAAGATATGTTAATACTCAAAACATTATCATGAAAAAGATCTTCTAATTAGGATGTTACTCCACTCATCCAAATATCAGGCTTTTTTTTTTTTTTTTTTTTTTTTTTGAGACACAGTTTTGCTCTTGTTGCCCAGGCTGGAGTACATGGCACAATCTCAGCCCACTGCAACCTCTGCCTCCCAGGTATAAGCGATTCTTCTGCCTCAGCCTCCCGAGTGCACCACCATGCCTGACTCCAAATATCAGACTTTTTAAAAGCAACTTCAATTTTACAGTCTGAACCTGAAAAGGAGGTGGTGGGACACATACTTGGAATTTAAGAATAGGTTTCAAGTCCTTGAAAATTGTTCTAAAGGAAATAGAGTCACTTTCAGATCCCTACCCAGACAACAGTATACAAGAAAATCAAAATTACCCATAATTGTACCACCCATTATAACCATCATTAACATTTTGAGATATATTTCCTTTGATTTTCTGATGTACATAAATTAAATTGGGGTTATACCATGCACAGTTTTATATCCTGCCTTTTTACTTATTATTTAAACATTTGTATACAGCATATCTATCATTTGTGTATACCATAACTTAACCAATTTCCTATCTTTAGACATTTAAGGAATACTGCAAGAAAAATATATGTATTTTGCACATCTCATATTTTCTTCCAGGAAATAAATTTCAAGAAACAGAATTACAGAATCAAAGGACATCAATATATTTAAGAATCTTAATATTGTCAAATTGTCCTCCATAGAGGTAAGGCCAACTTACATGCCCCCCCTCCCAATACAGTACCCGTGACCTCATTCATAATAGTGCTTTAAATTTAAGTCAAATCCATTTTCTTTTACCTTTTCCATCTAAACTGTAATTGTTTCCCTTGAGTTTGGTACACTCCTGGCTTAAGACCTCTGGACTTTTAATCATTCTCCCTTACACCCACTTCTACTTAAGGTAACTGAGGTCCAGAAGCTAACTTTATTCACCTGTTCCAATATTTTCTAATCAAAGATTCTTGTTATTTGAGATGCCCATCTCCTCAATATAATAGAAAAGTTTACAACTATTTACATTGTTTTACATTGTTTCCATTGTGATTGTGAAAATCACCCTCCTATGGAAACTAAATCATTAGAGATCCGATTTACACATGCAAGAGTTACCTCAAAGACAAAAAAAAAAGTCAAAACTATTTTCAAATAAAAACTCCAATTTCAAACTGAAAACATAACAGACATTTTGGAACCAAACAGCTATAAGTTTGAACCCCAGTATCAGTCTGTGATTTCTTGGATCCAAGAGCTTATAATTTCTTCATTCCAATAACCTTGGCACTTGGAACGGAGCCTGGCATTCAGCAGGAGCTAAAATGAATGGCCATTATGTAAATAATAATTGGCAAATACATTTGGTATCTTCTCTTGAGTTCCACTTTCCTCGTATGAAAAACACGAGGACATCATTGCTTATTTTCACAGTCCTGACAGCAAGACTGAGCAGATAACGTATCTGAAGGTGGCTAGGACAAAGGACTGACCCACTGTGGATCATCAGAATAAGTGGTGACCACAGCCCATACAGCTGAATAGAGAATTACAAAATACAATATACCTAAGCAAACTATCTAAAGCAGCTACTTCCATTAACAGAATTTAAGACATAAAGCTCAACTATTCAAATGATTAAAAAGCATGACTGCAAGAAGAAAAACAAAGTAACCTGAAAAAAAATAGAGAAAAGCCAACTAGTAAATACCCTAGCAAATTTTAATTTCCTAAAAAGGGCAATATTTATAACATTTAATGTATTTAACATAAGGACACCAAAAATAACAATTTTGAGATTAAAACTACTCATGTTAAATCAAAGTACTTAAATTTTTGATGGGTTTTCACAAAATACCCCTCCCTCCATTAATCATATTTATGAAATATTAATCATAAGGAAAATACTGTAAAACAAAAAATTCTCAGCATTAAAATAGATCTGGAAAATATTTTAGGAATCTATTCATTTCTCATTTCTTTTTTTTTTTTTAATATAATAGAAACTGGGTTTTGCCATGTGGCCCAGGCTAGTCTCAAACTTCTGGGTTCAAGCAATCCACCCACCTTGGCCTCCCGAAGTGCCAGGATTACAGGCATGAGCCACTGCACTCATTTCTTAAATGGAAATTCCCTTCTAAATCAAGTCATATTTTAGTCTATTTCCTTAACTCCTTCTGCTGTTACATGACTTCAGTCACCTCAAAGTAATCCAGGAATAAAAGTTTTAGAAAAGACATTTATAATACAAATAAGCAGCAAATATCTCTAATGATTATCCCATCATGGTCCAAAGCCTGGCAAATATAAATCATATTTTTTATCAAATTAGCACACATCCAAAAAAAATACTTTAAAACTCAGTATCCAAAGACCATATTTAGCATATTTAACAACAGCACATCAAAACAATCTCTTGGTCTACAATGGTAAGGTTAAATCTAAAGGTTCCCAAATAAAATTTACAAAAGAATTTCTTTGATCATTTTTAAATTCTAAAATGTACAGATCTCTAGACCCGTATGTGGGCCATTTCTGTAGTGTCTGCCCAGACAGCAAAAGGATGCAGCTGGCAGGCTGCCTCCCTTTAATCTTTCCTTAGAGCAGGTGTTAATGAGATCAAGGTCAGAAGTTCAATCAGGAATGGTCCAACTAACTTTGTTCAGAGAGAAACTCTCACAGTCACAGAGGACATCCCCTAGCTTCAGTCACTCACCTAATAAATGTTTTATTTATTATTCATGATCACTAACAGAAGAGACAACTCAAGATGAACTACCGACTGTGGGTCAGAGGCATTTTTGTGTAAAAGATCACATGTGCCCTCTGGCACCTGAAAATTGTATTGTTACCAACACTTAAAATGGTCACAAGTTTTAAGCTTCTGTTGCTGCTGCCTGTAGGAGGTTTGGCAGCTATAAAAATTGGATGGTGACCCAAAACAGTAATTTTTTTAAAAAGAAGAGGAAGGTAAACGAGACAAATTTCTCTGAAAACCCTCAATTAAACTTACTGGAAGTTTTGGTTCTTTATTGGGTAAAATTACTTTTACATTGTAAGCACCTAACAAATGTTTTTAAAATAGGCTAAAATGCAGGAATTTTTCTACATTGAGTCAAGTCTTTTGGCTTCAAACATTTGCCAACGGAATAGAGAACTATGAGACATTCAGCTATGTATCTTATTTTGTTTAAGTAACAAATCACTGATATCTAGGTGACCATCTACCGCTAGTAAGCAAGACACTTATAAAACAATACATGGAAATTAAAATCCTATTTTTCTAATACCATGATCCCTAAACACTGGCTTAACATATTTAGGAAGAAAAGCAAAACAATCAAGTGTAGCACTGATAATCTCTGAAACTAGATGTTCTTAAATTAGTGTAGCCACATCAATAAGATCCTAGGGGCTCCCAAAGGTGCTCTGGGGTTCCATAAATGCTTGGCTTGCATTTCATTTTCAAAATCTCCTTTATACTTGCAAAGCTGTGACACTATCTCTGTCACATATAATAATGTGTAATGAAAAACAGCATACACACTCAAGTGTGTTAAAAATCAAATGCAAACACATCCCTTAAAGCTGCCAGGCCACCTTGATTTTATGCAGACCTAGGAATAAAGTTTCTGCTGCCAGCTTTTTCCGCATATCTCAACTTCTTGTAAACATGTCACTGATTAGGAAAGCTGCAGCTCCACACTGAACATTCTTAAAACTCAGGTTTGCACATAGCTACTTATGTAAAATTATATTCAGGAATAGAAGTTTTCTGTAGAAATAGGATTTCCTCGATACTATACAATCAAAATAAAATGTGAAAATAAAAAGCAGCAGCTGTGATTATAATGGTATCCATAATCCAATTACAAATTTAAGTCTTAATGTTCTCAATTTAGAAGAAATTTGCACTAATGAAACAAGTGTATGCTAATGAAGAATCACTTATCTGTGACTTTTTTCTCGCTATGAAGAAGTTAAATTACTAAAACAGTCTAAATAGTCAAATAATAAATTCACAGATTTTGAATTTTCTTCTGCACAAAAAACAAGCAGTACAGCCAAAGGACTTTGAAATCTCTATGGCCAATGCTTCCACGATGCTACAAACTCCACAGTACCCTTCATACAGCAGTCACAGAAATTCACAACTTGATTTTGAAGTTCAGTAAAATGTCTTCAGTCAACTGTCTTTTTACTTTCAGTTAATACTCCAATTATATCCACTTATTTACCGTATTAGAATTTGTAAGCATCTTGGCAGAATGGCAATGTCCTCGAATTACCAAATTGGTAAAAAATAAAAAGTTATAATTAACTTAAACAATGCCTCCGACATATTTATTAAAATAACTGAATCTGGAAAAAAAGAAAAATTATTAACAAATATATAAAATAATAGCCCTCTTTGATAGGACCTTCAGTGAGCCTAGGGCACTCTTCCTCAGATTTTTCCACTTAAAAATATTAAGGCTATATTATGAGAATATGGGAGTCTGTGGCTATTTTGTGTTTTGATAGCCACAGACTCCCACATTCTCATAATAGAGCCTTAGGAAAACCAGGCAAAGAATACACAACCTTTTAATATTTTCTCTTAACAATTCTTGTGAATTTTGTGTTATATTTCATAATATATCCTTTTACTTTAAAATTTTAAAGAGTTCCTTCCCCTCTAAAAACCTTTGAGTAAAACTAGAACTCCAGGAAGATGCATCACTTTCATTCCAAGTCTTTGACCTGACATAACCAAGTGGCCACTAACACCCCAGGACAAGAAGCAGGGACCAACATTTGATGCACTCCAATGCATTTCCATCTGCAGTAATTAAAACATTTTCCCCAGCCTATTCAAGATCAAAATGTATTCTTCCTTGAATGAATTAACTTACATTTTCATGTTTCATATGTTTAAGTAACCGCAGTTCTCTGTAGGTTCTTTTGGCATGAATGATGGACTGAAATGGTCTGGAGAGCTTCTTCACTGCCACACGTAACCCCGTTTTTGTGTCAAAAGCGGCACTAAGGAGGAAAAAAGGGAAAAAAACTCACCATTAAAAAGGTGTTCTAAATACCATTTTGGGGTATTTATACGGCTATTTCCAAATTAAAGGGTCTATAACAAAATACAAAAAAAAAGCATAAAGATAAAAAGCAAAATGACCTATTATCCCACTATCCAAATAAAGCTTATTATTTTTGGTGTTTTCTCCTTGTCTTTTCTATGTATCTAAATCAGGAGTCAGCAAATTTTTTTCTATGAAGGGCCAGATAGTAATATTTTCAACTTTGCAAACCCTAAGACCTCTGTCACAACTACTCAACTCTGGTTGTAGGAGGAAAGCAGCCAGAAAATAAGTTTAAAAATGGGTGTGGCTGTGTTCTAATAAAATTTACAAAAACTGGCAGCTGCCTGATCTAGATGAGCCAACAGATTAATAAACAGAGTTGAATTCTGTCTTCCCTGCCTAGGCCTCACTGTCGTCACCTTGCCACATACACTGCCTGATTAGAGTCAAGGCCCAGGAAACCGTGTTTTCAGGACAATAAATTGCCACAAACATTTCTGGAGCACCTACAAAGTACTTGGCCCTTCAGGGAATGGGGGAAGAGCAAAACAGAATAATAAAATAATTTCAAATGGTGACGAAAATACTATGACTAAATAAAAGGGTAATGGGATAAAGAGTGACAGAGAGCCAGCGGAGTTATGACACTTTAGCTAGGATGGCTAAGGAATCACATCTGACCTGAGAAGGAAACAATGTAATGATTAAATTCCCTATATAAATATATAAGAAAAAGAGCTTCAAGCAGAAGAAATAATAATATTAATGTTTATTGAGTCTTTACCCACACATACAAGAAATTATTCTAAGCCCTTTACATTAATTTGTCTCAATTCAGCTTTTGTAATTCCCCGAATCTCCTATGAAAAAACACTATTATCATTCCCCAACTTACAAATAAGCAACTGAAGCACAGAGAGGTTAAGTAACTTGACCATGGTCACAAAGCTTAAAAGTGGCAGAGCAGGGAGTCTGGATCCAGAGCTTATGCTACTGACCACTTGACTCTATCTCTCAGAAGAGCAAGTGCAAACAAATGAAAAAAGAAACAGAGGTAGGAAAACTATGGCATGCTGGAGTGAGTGACAGAAAGACGGAAGGGCTGTGTGGGTGGAGCACAGGGTGCAAGGGGAGAGTGGGAAGGGATGATATAAGAGATGCAGGCAGTGGCTAGATCATGGAGGACATCTACAGCAAAAATGAGATGTGTATTTTAATTATTTTTAGAAATCATCGCCGGGCATGGTGGCTCACGCCTGTAATCCCAGCACCTTGGGAGGCCGAGGCGGGTGGATCACAAGGTCAGGAGTTCGAGACCAGTCTGACCAACATGGTGAAATTCCGTTTCTACCAAAAATACAAAATTAACCGGGCGCAGTGGCGGGTGCCTGTAATCCCAGCTACTCGGGAGGCTGAGGCAGGAGAATCGCTTGATCCCAAGAGGCAGAGGTTGCAGTGAGCTGAGATTGCGCCATTGCACTCCAGCCTGGCAACAAGAGTGAAACTCTGTCTCAAAAAAATATATAATAGTAATAACAGAAATTGTCTGGGCCAGTTCCATTATGCCTCATCCTCCAGTTTGTCTCGGTCTCTAATATGTATCTAAGACTTTCTGGTCATCTATTATCACCAAACTCTCTGCCTGCCAAACTTGCTTTTACAACTCTGTACCTACTCCAGTTCCCTTCCTTTCACTCCCAAACTTTTATGCCATGCCCTCAATCTTCAAATCCCAATTTGTGATAAACTCCTATAAATCTGCAACCTCTTTTCTGAACCTTCCCTCCATCTCTGTGAAACTAGGCCATTTCTAGAAGACACTGCTTCTCTTATAGCCCTGCCATTAGAAAGCATTCTCTAATAGCCCAGATACCTCCTGGATAGCAGGTGGGTAGGAGTCTTCCTTGGCAGCCATTATCACTTCAGGACCATTACTTTCCATTTGTTCTGTAAAATACCTCCTGCTCACAACCCTGATAAACCTATCCCTCTCTGCTGCTGGTATCCACTAACCTGAAATTTTCCATCATTCATTGAAAAGTTAGTGTCTATCCAGAAGATCTCTCTACACTCCCAACTTCTGTCATCACTCTTGGCAACTTCAACATCCAGGTGAACGGCACACCCAACATCCTGTTTCCTGATCTCTCTAGGAAACTCCACCACACCCAGCCGTCTTCACAGTCACACTCTAGACCTTTATTCCTACCAAAAACTGCCCAACCTACAAAATTTTGAATGCCAGCAGCATTTGCTTTTCATCACAAACCTAGTTACTTCTAGTTTACTTGCACCCTGAATACAACAATTTGTTAACCTCGTCATTGTTTGTTTCTATCCTTCAGCCCTCTTCTGTCTTCATTTCCCTTCCTGTTCCATGATTATAATCACTTCCTTGTACTTCTCTCTCTCTCTCTCTCTCTGATGTACTCACCTGGATAAAATTTAACCTTGGGTAATCTCAACCACTTAATTCTCCCATGACTGAATCCAAAGAACTAACTGAGGTTGAACAAAAAAGACCGTAGAATCAGATTTTCATTCTTAGTTTCTGACCTTAATCTCAAAGAGGCTCTCAATAAAGCCATTTTCTTCTAGTAAGTTCATTTTCCTACTCGAAAATGATCATTTGACATGATCTCTCTCAAATCTCCAACTCACCCTCTTCCCTCAAGAGTTGCCCTTACCTTCACTGAGAAAACAGAAACCATCAAGAGGGGAGCTCCATTTGCTTATCCCCAAATCTATAAACCCATCGTCTCCACCTTCCCTGTTGCTATAACTAAGAATATACCCTTTCTTATCAAAATTCAAGACCACAATATATGCTTTGGAGCCACCCTCCTCATCTTCTCAAGGATTTCCCTTCTTCCTTCCTCTTCTCCCTTGCATCATCAGTGTCTCCCTATCTACTGGACCATTCTCATCAGCAGAAAGGCACTCTACTTGTTTGCCACCTTCAACCAACAAACAAAGACTTCCCTTGACAGTTCTCCATCACAGTTAAAATTCTCCAAAAAAATCACCTACACCAGAGGTTCCCAGATCAGCAGCATCAGTTTCACCTGGGAATTTATAGGAAATGAAAATTCTCAGGTACCACCCCAGAGTTACAGAATGAGAAACTTTGAACTAGGTCTAATAATCTGTATTTTATCAAGCCCTCCACATTAGTCTGATACATATTACAGTTTGAGAACCACTAATCTATACCTTTGCTACTCAAAGTGTGCTCCATTGCTCCATGGACCAGTAGCACTGGCATTATCTGGGAGCTCATTAGAAAATGCAGGATCTCTGCAGACAACAGGAAAGGAGAAAGGAGAAAGGAAAAGGAAAATGAAGAGGAAAAGGAAAGGACAGGACATCTTGGGCCCTAAAATAGAATCTACATTTTGACAAGATTTCCAGGTGATTAATATACCTCTTAATCAGGTGAGAAGCAGGCCGGGCGCGGTGGCTCAAGCCTGTAATCCCAGCACTTTGGGAGGCCGAGACGGGCGGATCACGAGGTCAGGAGATCGAGACCATCCTGGCGAACACCGTGAAACCCCGTCTCTACTAAAAAAATACAAAAAACTAGCCGGGCGAGGTGGCGGGCGCCTGTAGTCCCAGCTACTCGGGAGGCTGAGGCAGGAGAATGGCGTAAACCTGGGAGGCGGAGCTTGCAGTGAGCTGAGATCCGGCCACTGCACTCCAGCCCGGGCTACAGAGCGAGACTCCGTCTCAAAAAAAAAAAAGAAAAAAAAAAAGATGTGAAAAGCACACATCTACACAACTGACTCATTTCAATTCCATTCTTCCCTCAATCCATTCAACTGAAACTGCTCTTCTCAAGGTCATTAATGATCTCTGCTACCAAATCCACTTTTCTAAGATTAGTAATTGACATAGTCACCACTTTCTCTAAATACTGTCCATCCTGGAGTCTTTATCAACACTTCTATTGGTTTTCTATGACCCCTGTGGCAGCTCCATCTCTGTCTCCACTGCATGTGCTACTTCTACTCAAACTCTCTATGTTGGAGTTCTTCAGCACATGGTACTGGGCCCTGTTCTCTCTCCCATATTCTCTTTCTAGATAATCTCATCTATGTCCACAACTTTAAATTAAATGCCATCTATATATTGAAAACTCCCAAATTTATGTCTCTCACTGAAATCTCTTCTCTGTGTCCTGACGTCTCCATGACAAAGACACATAAGCACCTGAAACGCAGCAAGTACAAAACACCCAGAACTATTCTTCTCCATGTCTCTGTTATCCAATAAATGGATTGTTCATCCAGTTGCTCGAGCTAGACATTTGATTGTCATCCTTGATTTCTCCCTTTCCTCAGTCCCCATTCAAATCTATTGGCAAGTCTCATGGTTTTCACCTCCAAAATACATCTCAAAGTCAACTGCTCTTCATTTCACCACTATCATATTAGTCCACGTCACCAGCCTGCCGGTCCTTCTAATATGCTCTCCAAATGCAGCCAATACAGTCTTTTAAAAATACAAATGATGCCAGGCACAATGGCTCAAGCCTATAAACCTAGCACTTTGGGAGGCCAGGGTAGGAGGACTGTTTGAGCCCAGAAGTTTGAGATCAGCCTGAGCAACAGAGCAAGACCCTGTATCTACAAAAAATAAAAAATTGGTTGGGTGTGGTGGCTCACGCCTGTAATCCCAGCACTCTGGGAGGCCAAGGCGGGTGGATCACTTGAGGTCAGGAGTTTGAGACCAGCTTGGCCAATATGGTGAAACCCGTTTCTACTAAAAAAATACAAAATTTAGTGGGGCGTGGTGGCACACACTTGTAACCCCAGCTACTTGGGAGGCTGAGGTGGGAGGATCACTTGAACCCAGGAGGTGGAGGTTGCACTGAGCTGAGATTGTATCACTGCACTCAAGCCTGAGCAACAAAGTGAGACTCTGTCTGAAAAAAATAATTATAAATAAATTAAA